ATCAAGATTGCCGGGAGAAATATCAATAACCTCAGATATGCAGATGACACCACCCTTATGGGAGAAAGTAAAGAAGAACTAAAGAGCCTCTTGATGAAAGTGAAAGAGGAGAGTGAAAAAGTTGTCTTAAAGCTCAACATTCAGAAAACGAAGATCATGGCATCTGGTCCCATCACTTCATGGGAAATAGATGGGGAAACAGTGTCAGACTTTATTTTTGGGGGCTCCAAAATCACTGCAGATGGTGATTGCAGCTATGAAATTAAAAGACGCTTACTCCTTGGAAGGAAAGTTATGATCAACCTAGACAGCATATATTTTTTTTAATTTTATTTTTTTTTTATTTTTTATTTTTTTCATTTATTTTTATTAGTTGGAGGCTAATTACTTTACATCATTGCAGTGGTTTTTGTCATACATTGAAATGAATTAGCCATGGATTTACATGTATTCCCCATCCCGGTCCCCCCTCCCACCTCCCTCTCCACCTGATCCCTCTGGGTCTTCCCAGTACACCAGGCCCGAGCACTTGTCTCATGAACCCAACCTGGGCTGGTGATCTGTTTCACCCTAGATAATATACATGTTTCGATGCTGTTCTCTTGAAACATCCCACCCTCGCCTTCTCCCAGAGTCCACAAGTCTGTTCTATACATCGGAGTCTCTTTTTCTGTTTTGCATATAGGGTTATCGTTACCATCTTTCTAAACTCCATATATATGTGTTAGTATACTGTAATGGTCTTTATTCCATGGTGTATATGTACCACAGCTTCCTCATCCATTTGTCTGCTGATGGGCATCTAGGTTGCTTCCATGTCCTGGCTATTATAAACCCTAGACAGCATATTAAAAAGCAGAGACATTACTTTGCCAACAAAGGTCTGTTTAGTCAAGGCTATGGTTTTTCCAGTGGTCATGTATGGATGTGAGCGTTGGACTGTGAAGAAGGCTGAGCACTGAAAAACTGATGCTTTTGAACTGTGGTTTTGGAGAAGACTTTTGAGAGTCCCTTGGACTGCAAGGAGATACAACCAGTCCAGTGTAAAGGAGATCAGTCCTGGGTGTTCATTGGAAGGACTGATGCTGAATCTGAAACTCCAATACTTTGGCCACCTCATGTGAAGAGTTGACTCATTGGAAAAGACCCTGATGCTGAGAGGGATTGGGGGCAGGAGGAGAAGGGGATGACAGAGGATGAGATGGCTGGATGGCATCACCGACTCGATGGGCATGAGTTTGAGTAAACTCCTGGCATTGGTGATGGACAGGGAGGCCTGGTGTGCTGCGATTCATGGGGTCAATGACAAGCACTGTTCTAAGTGTATCTGAGCTTTTTTTCCCTTTTACTTCCTTTTTTATTGAGACATAATTAACAAACCACACTGTGTAAGTTTAATGTGTACAGCATCATGACTTGACATACATGCATTTTGAAATGATGCCCACAAGTTAGTGAATATTTATCATCTCATATAAATACAAAATTTAAAAAAATTAGAAAAGAAATTTTCTCTTTCTTTGGATTTACTCTCTTAACAACTTTCTTATATAACATATAGCAGTGCTTGTTATGTGTATCCTTTGTACACTACATCCCTTGTGCTTATTTACCTTATAATACTGAAACTTGTACAGTTTGATCACCTTCATCAAATTCTCCCTCCATCTGCCCTTGCCTCTGGTAAACACAAATCTCACCTTTTCCTATAAGTTTGTTTGCTTGCTTTTGAAGGATAATTTACCTATAACACTATGTTAGTTCCTGGCACACAACATAATGACTCAATTTTTTTTAACATTTTATTTCATGTGAATTTCCAGTGTACAAAAGTATGTGTTTGAACCTGTCACTCAAATAGGAGGTTCTTTCAGTTCTCTAGGACAACCTTCTTTCAGAGGCAAATACATTTTTTAAAAGATAATATTATGTAAAATATATATAGAAAATTTTCTCTTATAAATACAAAAGTATTTGGACATTTTAAATTTAGTACAGCTTAGCATCCTAGTTTCTGTTGATAAATTTAATTAATTGTTAGGAGGTTTATATATAGGAAAAACTCTGTAAATGGTAGATATATTTTAACCCTTGATTAAGAGTGACATGTCTGACCTAAATTTGTTCTTGTTTTTTTTTTAACTAATTTTTAAATTTTATTCTGTGTTTTTGGTTGCACTGGTCTTTGTTGCTACACACGGGCTTTCTCTAGTCGTGGCGAGTGGGGTCTATTCTTCGTTGCAGTGCACGGGCTTTTCGTTGCAGTGGTTTCTCTACAGCACAGGCTATAGGCACATGGCCTTCAGTAGTTGTGGCTTAGGGCCCCTAGAGAATAGGCTCAGAAGTTGTGGCACATGGGCTTAGTAGTTCCACAGCATGTAGAATCTTCTCAGACTAGGGATTGAACTGTGTCCTCTGCATTGGCAGGCAGATTCTTATCTGCTGCACCACCGAGGAAGTCCTATGTTCTTGTATTTTTTTAAGAAGAAACTCCATTTGTAAATTCAAATTTGGTTTTCCCTTTATAATTTTTTGCTCAGTATTTTGAACACTTCGATTTTCTTTTTGTAAAGACTTTGAGTTTCTCTCTCTTTTCTCCTCTCAAGTTCTTGCTTCTTAGTGCCAAGCTTAGCTCTTACCTGTTTATATTCTTCATGTGTTTTTTGATTTGATACTTTTCTTTTTGTTTTTATTTGGCATATTAATAGAGTTGTTTCTAGCTGAGATTGCTCAGTGTTAAAACATTCTTCAGATAATACCTGGTCAATGCTACATTGCTCTTCTGACAAAGGCAGGTCAACTTGTTCTAACAAAGACTAGTCAGCTTTTGTTTCTTTTTTAAATTAATTAATTAATTTGCTTGGCTTCATTGAGTCTTAGTTGTGGCACTCAAGGTCTTTCATCGGGCTCTGAAGCACAGGCTGAGTGGTTGCAGAATGAGGGCTTATTTGCCCTGCAGCATGAAGGATCTTAGTTCTCTAGCCAGGGATCAGACCTGCATTGCTTGCATTGCAAGGCAAATACTTAACCATTGGACCACCAGCAAAGTCCCCAGTCGGCTCTTCTAAGTTGCTTCCTGAGTCTTTCCTCTTCAGCTGAATAGAGATGTTTCCGATGATCAGGGTATCATTCTGTGAATTGAGATTCCTATGAGGTTTGAAACTTCTTTTCCTTTCATAGCAATTATCTTATAATCTTGCTGAATCTTTAGTTTTTAAATGCAAAGGCTTGTCCCTTAAGAACACTCCCCATGAACACTTGGAGATGGTTAGATCACCATGTTCTTAGTTTCACATTTTTGAATCCTACCTGTGAAGCACCTTCATCGTGTGTCCCAGAGTTCCCTGTCTGCCACTTTGCTGGCAGCCTCACCAATGCCATGGAGCCCAGATGAGGTAGAGGAAGGGAAACATTAGAGAGTATATCTCCCTCCTAAAGAAGGGCAGGAACTCTGGTGGGGTGGTATGTGGACCCCGCAGATGCTAAACTTTTTAGAATCTTGCAGGGGACATTCGTCCATTCTCCGAAGGGAGGTCAAGTAACAGCGGGCAACTCTCATTGAAAGCATATATGCCTAGAGCTATGGGTGGAGAAGCAGTTCCCCACACAGCCCCATTCTTGGGGTCTAGGCAGCCACTCCTATTTGCAGCTACTACATGTTTCATCCCTTCTTCTTTAAGAGATGAAATAAAAAGAATGAGAAAGAGGAAAGGAGAATGCTGCTTTTTCAGAAGAAAAACAGTTAGGCAAGGGAGATTTAGAGGTAAGACATGTTAAGAGGATTAGAACACATCAGAGAAATGTGACTAAGAAAACCTACCCTGTCTCTTCTGACCTCAGTCCTATGAACCAAGGGAAACGCGGTCATAGGAATGAAGTTGGTCTTCCAGGACTGTATGCAAGTTGTCCTTTTCTTGCCACCAGGTTTGAGTCTCCCTATTAAAAAGCCTTATGGTGTAATGGGGCCTCAGAGGCCTGAGTTCAAATACAGCCATGCAACTGAGGAAAGTTTGCTTGATGTCAACTGTTTCCTCATATGTATCATGGGTCTAACAGTATCTAGACCACAAGTTGCTCCAAGAATGAAATGAAGCTCTGTAGCGGGTTGAATAGTGTTCCCCCAAAATTCCATGCCCACTGGAGCGTCTGAATGTGACCTTATTTGAAACTAGGGTGTTAGCAGATATAATTAGTTATGATGAGGTCATACTGGAATAGGGTGGGCACTAACCCAATGGCTGGTGTTCTTTTAAGAAGAGGAGAGGACACAAAGAATATGTGCAAGGAATAAGGTCATAAATAAGGTGAAAATGAAGGCAGAGATTGGAATGATCAGCTGCAGCCAAGGAATGCCAAGGTTTGACAGGAGCCCCCAGAAGGTAGGAAGAGGCGAGGAAGCATTTTTCCCTGGAGCCTTCAGCAGGAGTATGGCCATGACACCTTGACCCCAGACTTCTAGCCTCCTAAATTGTGAGAGAAATGTAGGTACACTGTCTGTGGTTTTAAGCCACCCAGGTTGTGGTGATTTGTTACAGCAGCCTAAGAAAACAAATAATATCTATGCAAACTTCTTGGTGTGTAGCTAGAACATGCAACGCTGAAAGTGAAACCAAAACTTCCCAGTAGGCTGGGCTATAATCAGTTCCTTAGAATCAGTTTTGGTTTGAATTGTCCTCATGTTAAGAGAAAGCCTGAGCTGGATAGGGATGATATCTTTTCTCCTCTTGCTTAATGTACCTTATCTCCATATTTTTCTGTCAGCCGTCATCGTATGTCCCTCTGCCAGCTAGAAAGAACCCAGTGGTCTCGGCAGCAACCTGGGTTTTATTTTCATTTTGGCTGTTTGTTTTGTTGGCTTCTGTGAGGAAATCTGACAAAGAGCAACTGTGTGTTGTTTTCTTTTCTTTTGAGTCTTTGCCTGAGAAGCCTCACCAAGGCCTGATGGGAGTATCGTGTGGGCTGTGATTGTCTTGTTTTGTGAGTTGGTGTTGTGGACCACGATGAGGCTGCCACAGTCGGGTAAGTGCAGGCACATTTTCTCTCCACCCCATTGGACATGTGAGAAACTGCCTCAGAAATTGTGTTCAGGGGCATAAACAAGCTAATTTCCTCCTGTCCTCAAAACAGTAGGATTTCTTTTGTTGGTCCTATGCTTATTATTCTTGTTGAGCAGTTTTAAAAAAGTGAGGTTTTTTTTTTTTTCTGCACAAAATAAGTGTGAACGGAAAAAATTGAAATATTCCTGAAATTGTCACTCCACTTAGAATTTTGGAAGGTTAATGGAACTTAAAAATTTGGTTTTTTACATCCAACATCTGTTTGTGATTAACCCTTTGGCAGGCAGTCAACATTCCACAGTAGCCTGTGTTTACAAGATACGTTCTAAAAGTCAACTGTTTAAAAAACAAAACAAAACTGGAACTTCCCTGGTGGTCCAGTGGTTAAGACTCCTAGCTTCCTGTGCAGGGGCTGCAGGTTTGATTCCTGGTCAGGGAAGGAAGAGCCCACATGCTGAGGGACACGGCAAAAAACCCAACCATGCTCATTAACTTATAGGCACCCATTATTTAACAACAGTGTGACCTGGGCCTACTAAAGGGCTTCTATTCTACATAAAATGATAAAAGAAAGTTTAGCAAAATGAAGGAAAACCACTATTGCTATTTATTGGTCACTACCCATGTGTACATAATAGAATAGAGATGATAAGGAACTCATGTGAGAAATGGTTGAAGTGAGGAGGTGAAACTTGAATGAAATTATCTACAGATAAGGCCTTCTAACCCTGAAATTCTGTGGTTCTGTGGAAGGAAATGAATGATATACATTGATAAAATGTACAGTAAGAATATTCACTGTGAGCAGTAATCAGATAGTTGTGCGTGTGTGGTAGGTCCTTTCAGTCATGTCCAACTCTTTGTGACCCTGTGGACTGTAGCCTGCCAGGCTTCCTTATGCATGGGATTCTCCAGGCAAGAACACTGGAGTAGGTTGCTTTGCCCTCCTCCAGGGGAGCTTCCCGACCCAGGGATCAAACCTGCGGCTCTTATATCTCCCGGATTGGCAGGCAGGTTCTTTACCACTAACACCACCTGGGAAGCCCTCAGACAGTTGTAGCAGGAGTTAAATTCCAGTTGGCCTGGATGTTTTTTAAGCTCCCTTTGAAGTCTAAGAGTTTATGAATAGATGAACTGTATCTGTTGCCACTCAGAACTGATCTATTTGCCTTCATTACCTGAACTCTCACTATCAACTTGTCTTCCTTGCTTCCTGTTGAAGGTGTCTTTTCAGATTTCTTCTGTGAACCTTTCCATTAAACTTCAGCTCCTTGTAGGCAAAGACACACCTTTTAGGTTCTCTGAATCCCGAGTACCTATCACAGTGTATATGCATATGTCTATGTGTAGGTTCTCACTGGGTGCTTGTTCAGTTGTTGAATTAGTTGATTTGATGAAATGGCAGGTAAATCATCAGATGTGGGATGTTTGCATAATATATAGCAGGCAATGGGGCTGATGGAAGTGAAGCAGATTCCTCAGGGACAGTATTAGGAGTCATACTTCAGATTGACTTGCTTTAAGAGGCATTGGACAGTGATCCTTAGGTTGTTGTGTGTTAGTTTTATTCCACATGGCAACATCCAAATATGCCACCGGCATTAACTGTGTCATACTTGGGTTACCCTGTAATGAGGCAACTGCATCCTGGCCTCCTCATATCCCATCCTGGGTCTTCTGCAGTGGGGCTTCCTCAGGTTGTGTTCCGCTAATTTTCAAATCGACTCGCAGAATTCTAGAATAGATGGAGGAATCTGAAAGTTTATCCAGCCCCAATCACCTCAGTTCTCACCAGCCCTTTCGAATACCCCTGGGACTGATTCCCAGTTCTTACTCTCCTGATCTCTCTATTATCAGCCCCTTCTGCTTCTTGGGATTTTCCTCCCATGGCTCTGAGATATTGTGATAATGAAGCTTCTCACTCTTAGATAATTTCTTCTCTGCCTTCTTCTCTGGTCTCTTACTTCTATTCTCCAAATTTTGGAGCATTCCTCAGAGTTCAGACTTTTTCTTTCTAATCTCTTTTTTTATACTCTCCCTCTCAGAAAGTTAATTTATTCCCTAGTATCATCTCACATTTTTATTAGAATTAACTTTTTTATCTTTAGTCCCAAATAGTGTCCCAAACTATAGATCTACAGTTTTCTTGACTGCCTTGCCTTACTTCTTGACTCAAACTCAACCCATCATCTTCCCTTTAAAAATGAGTTCTTGGTCTTATATTTGTCCCCCACCCCCAATAACATGAATATTATCTTGACAGTCCGGCCTCAAAAACCACAATCAACTTGTTGCTTCTCTTTCTTTCCCATGTGGCTGATCACTTGTCAATTGTTTTGTCAATTTTCCCGTCAGTTGTCTTATAATAAATTTCTCCTTCCTTTCCCTTTCTTCCTCTTTTTTTTTTTTTGACCCTAAATCTGGGGCTTTACCAGACTTCTGGATGAATACTGTGACCCCCCTAATCAAGTAGCTGGCCTCTAATTCCACTTTCCCACCATTATATACTAAAGGGGGAAAAAAAAACCCTCCGATTTAATCTTTTCAAACTTCTTTGTTATTTTCACTCAGTGTTTGAGTGACTATCACTGTCTTTCTTGGCAGCTCTACCTGGTATTAAGCTCTTAACATTCTCAAATTGTATTTCCAGCCAGGTTATACTCTTCATTGTCTTCCTCAACATGCCCTACGTGTTTGCTCCTGGGCCGTCTGTAATGCCCTCAAAAGTTGTTCGAGCTCTCCAATTCCTATCAGTGCTTCAAAGACTCACTTCAAATCCCATCACTACCAGTCAGCTTCCAGGGTTTTTGCATCTTCATGCAAAATATTTTATGCCACTTATTCTTATTTTTAATGTGTACAAGTTTTAACCTTCTGACTGTGTTATAATGTCTTTAAAGGTAGCGATGCTTTCTTAGGTGAATCCTTCTATTGATTCTCACAGTCTAATACAAAAACTTGCAAAAAATGGGAGCTTAGTATTTATTGATTAAAAAGTTGAGATTCAATTTGAATTTAAGGTAAATTTGAACCGCTAAGTTAAATTCATTAGAATTGTGTCTTAAGTCTACAGATAGTCTACCTGGGTCTCGGATCATAAGTTCAGCTTTATGTCTATATACACATTCATATGGGCTTCCCATGTGACTCAGTGGTAAAGATTGCAGGAGCCGCAGGAGACGTGAGTTAGATCCCTTAGTTGGGAAGAGCCCCTGGAGGAGGAAATGGCAACTCACTCCAACATTCTTGCTGGGATAATCTCATAGACAAAGGGACCTGGTGGACTACAGTCCATGGGGTTGCAAAGACTCGGACACGACTGAACCACACACACATTCATATAAATACACATTTATAAGTTAAAATGTATTAATTATCTCTATGATATCATCTTAAGTCTCTTTCTTAAATGCCTTTTAGAGGAGAGGAGTGAAAGACTTTAGCTGGAGTAAGGCCAGTGTTAGTTATCGTTAACTTTATCTTGGACACTCGTGATCATTTGTTACTGATATGCCAATAGTACTTTTGGTAGTTAGAAATGGAATCACACATTAATACCTAAAAATATTAAAGTTTTCATGGTTCGTCAAAAATCTTGGGATGTTACACACTTGAGGATCACCTAACATGGTGAAACAAAATAGTTGAGATTGGTTGTTAGCTGCATAGATGGCACATAGAAGGGACTGTGGAAATCACCTAGTTCACCCTTCTCTTGTAGAAAGTGGAGAATAAGTTCCTAAGGCAGAAGAGACAGAGCAAAGACTGAATCTCCTGTCTCCTAAAGCCTTCCACCATGCCACCAAGAGCAGTAGCTTCTCTAGTGGTCTGGGTGGCAACAGAAAGAGGATAGCAGTTGAGCAGGACCTTTCACAAGTCTAAAAATGGTAGCTTTCACTTCTTCTCACCCTCAAGCTTGATCATCTCCTGATCAAGAGGGCCCTTCTTGACTCCCCCTGGAGCCACAGGAAGATGTTCTCAAAGCTTATCCTATGCCATTCTGTCCCATTTTAGGCCATTCTTTCCGGCCCTGCCTGACTGAGTATGAAACAGTTCATACTTCCCTCAACTACGTGCCTTGCCCTCAACTAGTATGACATGCTCAGAGGCAGAATTATCAAGAACTTCTCAGAACTTCATTAAGAATTATCCAGAAATTAAGAAATTCAGCTAAACTGATTATCTGATTAAAAACTATTTTTCCACTCACATTCCAAAGTATTTATTAGAGGCTACCCTGCCTGATATAAGGATAACTATAATCTTCCTCTGCTTGATGCGAAGACTAGCAAAACCAAATGCGTACATAAGGAGTATATAATTAAGATGAAAATGAACAACTGACCAGGCATAGGAAAATATTTATATTCAAAACAAAGGTGAGTTTTAAAAGAGGAAGCTAGAGAAGGTTGTGATTGTTTGAACATGTTCATTGCATTGTGGAGAAGAGTCATCACAATGCTCATTTGGCCGAAGAAATACCTCACACTTCAGCACTCTGTAAATGATGCATCAAGTTAATTGATTTAGGCAATGCACTCCATAAGTTCTCCAAATAAATTCTTCCAGGCCCTGCCTGACTGAGTATGAAAGAATTCATACTTCCCTAACATTAAATGCTTTAGGAATCCACTTTGTTTTCAGAAAATGTGTCTCTCCTAAGGAGCCCAGAAGGCAGAAGTCTTATCCAGATTGCCGTGTTTTGAGGGAGGTTGGTGAGGGGCTTGAGATACCTGTGGAAACATTCTTCTGGGAGATAATCTTGTCAATAATCTTACTCTTAAAAAGGGATCACCTTCCACCTCTTGTGGAAACTTTTGTCTCAGCATGCACCCTGTACTTAAATAATTCCAGGAAGGAGGCCTCCCCATGCATGAGTGGCCCATTCTATTGTGTGTGGCTCTACTTGATAGAAAGTTCTTGTGTGCAGCCAAAATAAATAGCCACTATACAGTTTCTGTT